ATATTTCTTGTACTTGTCCATATTTAATTTCATTGCCAATTAGGATTTTTCAATCCTGCCTAATAAATTCCTATATAAAAGTACATCTATTCAAACTGAGGAAAATGTAAATGCTACTCAGATCATTCATTTTTGTAGCCTGTGATTTAAATCAGAAAAAAAAGATGAATGCTTTGACAGTTTTCATGTATACACACCAAAATATAATACATTTCAACTAGTTTTTGACTATTATGGACCTTAACATGCACTATGACCTTGGTCAGAAAAAGCCTGTTTGGTTTGCACAGAAACTTAATCATAAGAAGTCATAAGTAGAATCCTTCTTCTTTACTGCCCTTTTCTAGGACTAGGAAATATATTGCTTGTGGGACAGGTAGGATATGAACAATGGGCCAAATAGAGTCCAGGGTTATGTCATCCATGTGAAAACTGCTGCTGAAAATCGATGTGATCTCTGCTCCACTGTCATCTCAGTTCCCACCCTCTGTGTCCTATTTGTCTTTTAGCAGAAGCTTAGATCTGTGTGCTGTCTCTATGTGTCTCTCTTGGGCCAGATTATCAAAATGAATCATTGCCTGCATATCTCTTATATTTCTATTTATTTTCCTGGTGTTGACTAGGTCTGATGAAATATGATTCTTTTTGCGTTTGATCCTCACTGCAGCAAGCAGCACCTAATTCAGCTGTGTCTATCTCTTTAAAGAAGAGTAATACCATTTTGAAACTTCAATCTACTGTACAGCAACATTACAAACCATAGGCCATGCAACCTGTCTTCATAGTCAACAGTAATTTTCCTTTCAGCCAATTTAATGGAATTTCATTAATCTCCAAATAGAAGACTTCTAGTGATTTTAATGTAGTTTTAATGTTGTTTTATGCATACTTAATGTACTGCTTTCCTTTTAAGATTTTTGTTAATAGAATACCCCTCAGATTCTGACCACTGAGGTTACATGTGTGTGTAGAGTAAGACATGACAAATAACCCATATTTTTAAGAACTCTGCCCTGATACAAAATATTTATTCAGGAGAAACATTATGTTATCTATGAATCATTAGGAAGTCAACATTCTAACTTTGTAGTCGCTCATTTTGTAAAAATAGGTCTTCTACCAGGCTACATAAATTCATCTTGAAGATTTATAAACATCAATATAAATATGTTGAAACTCCCTAATTACTATTAATATTGATAAATCATTGTGAAGTCATTCTGTCCATCCACTTAATGCACTCATATGCAAAAGACAAAATGCTAGCTAAATAAAGACTTCAATAAATAAAGCATAATATTGCTTCATTAGTTATTGAGAAATAAGCCTTTTGAGACATTACAGCTGCTGCATAAGACATATTTTATAAATTAGATTTTTAATGAGATACTTCCAATGTTCAAACCTTGTAGTTGAAATAGTTCACAGAATTTGTGTTCATTCTCTCTGGAATACTTTGCCTCTTCCAAAGCTGCTACTGACAAAGAAGGAAGAAAGGAAGGAAGGAAGGAGGGAGACAAGGAAGGAAGAAAGACAAGTTATGCAAGAGGTTAGGGTTAATTTATAAGCAAGTTCTAAAAAACACATACATCAAGCATTTAGGTTCAAAATATTATTTGTCAGTTTTACTAAAAAACAATTCCTGGGAATACGTTCCTTTTAAAAAATATTTATTTTAATTGGAGGATAATTATTTTAAAATATTGTGGTGGTTTTTGCCATACATTGACATGAATCAGCCACATATGTCCCCCCATTCTGAACCCCTCTCTCACTTCCCTCCCCACCCCATCCCTCTGGGTTGTCCCAGTGCAATGACTTTGAGTGCCCTGTTTCACGCATCAAACTTGGACTGGGCATCTATTTCACATATGGTAATATACATGTTTCAATGCTATTCTCTCAAATCATCCCACCCTCGCCTTTTCCCACAGAGTCCAAAAGACTGTTCTTTACATCTGTGTCTCTTTTGCTGTCTCACATATAGGGTAATCATTACCCTTTCTAAATTCCATATATATGTGCTAATATACTCTATTGGTGTTTCTCTTTCTGACTTACTTCACTCTGTAGTGAAGGCTCTAGTTTCATCCACCTCATTAGAACTGACTCAAATGCATTCTTTTCTAGAGCTGAGTCACATTCCATTGTATATATGTACAACTTCCTTATCCATTCGCCTGCCAATGGACATCTAGGTTGCTTCCATGTCCTAGCTATTGTAAACAGTGCTGCGGTGAACATTGGGGTACACGTGTCTCTTTCAATTCTGGTTTCCTTGGTGTGAAGGCCCAGCAGTGGGATTGTGGCAGTTCTGTTTTCAGATTTTTAAGGAATCCTCACACTGTTCTCCATAGTGGGGGTACCAGTTTACATTCCCACCAACATGTAAGAGGGTTCCCTTTTCTCCACACTCTCTCCAGCATTTACTTTTTGTAGCCTTTTTGATGGCAGTTATTCTGACTGGCGTGAGATGGTACCTCATTGTGGTTTTGATTTGCATTTCTCTGTATGCATTTCTGTATGTCTTCTTCTGAGAAATGTCTGTTTAGTTCTTTGGCCCACTTTTTGATTGGGTCATTTATTTTTCTGGTATTGAGCTGCTTGTATAGTTTGGAGATTAATTATTTGTCAGTTGTTTCATTTGCTATTATTTTCTCTCATTCTGAAGGTTGCCTTTTCACCTTGCTTATAGTTTCCTTCATTGTGCAAAATCTTTTATGTTTAATTAGGTCCCATTTGTTTATTTTTGTTTTTATTTCCATTTCTCTGGGAGGTGGGTCATAGAGGATCTTGCTGTGATTTATGTCAGAGAGTGTTCTGCCTATTTGTTTGCCTCTAAGAGTTTTTTCTGGTCTTACATTTAGAGATCTAATCCATTTTGAGTTTATTTCTGTGTATGGTGTTAGAAAATATTCTAGTTTCATTCTTTTACAGGTGGTTGACCAGTTTTCCCAGCACCACTTGTTAAAAGAATTTATATTTCCTCCATTGTATATTTTTCTCTCCTTTATCAAAGATAAGGTGTTCATAGGTGCATGGATTTATCTCTGGGCTTTCAATTTTGTCCCACTGATCTATATTTCTGTCTCTGTGCCAGTGCTATAGATATTTTCCTTTTAGTTTCCTGTACAAAAAGAACATTCATTGTTTATTTTATGCATATTATTGAATTCTTAAAACCAATATTCAAATGCCCTGTAACATTTTGGATTCAAATAATGTGAAACTTTATTCTCTAAAATAATTGCTTGCATTTTTATCTCTATGGGCCTTAGAAAATTAGACATTGTAAAGGTGATCTACATAAGAGTACTTTACTCAGAGATAATGCTATCCCATTAAGTAATCCCACAGACGTTCCCACAATTTTATGCCACAGGTTTCCACACAGGAAATCCCACATCAAACCATGATGGCTGTGAATTCAATGGGGTTCAAGACTCTGTACACTAAGTATATAGGCTGCTTGGGCAATTGAAAAATGACTATGACAAAGCCATATTCCTACCCTTACAAGGACCAGAAACAATAGCTAGAGTTTTGTTTTCAAACCATGTGAAAATTCTAGATTTCTAGTCTAGATTTAAGTCTAGATTTTTGTTTCTTTGAGTAAGTCTCAAAATATATAGGGTCACTGAAAATTTTTATGACCAGAGAGATGCATATTTTCAAAGTTTGCTTGTGCTCAGTTACTGAAATAAAGAAACTGGTGAATAGAATAATTTTGTTTGAGGTTCTGTGATTCAATGCACTGTATACTGTTATTGTAGCCATTTAAGAATATCAGACTTTGATTACTATCCATGATTACCTCTGTAGCAGTGTGTTTTTATATATGTCAAAAAAAGTTCCAATTCCTAATTTTAGAGAAAATTTTGCTATCTGGTTCATACATCTCACACAAAAGATTTTCAACCAGAATTTAAGTAGATAGTCAATTAGCTGGCTTCTCAAATTAACAGGATATTCCTTTTGTAATTAGAGGTATCTGTGCCAAACAAATCTGAAATATTTTATTAGACAAAAATTCGATTTCTGTCTCTTCAAATGAAGCTTTAAAGGAATGTCATTTAAGTTATGAGTGCATAGGAGAAATTAACATACAAATAAAAGGACAGAAAATATACACTTTGTGGCTTTACAACATAAGTTATTATTTTTTTCATAAGAAATAGTCTTCAAAATAAGAAGTAACACTGGAAAACAGTCCAGATCCTAAACTAGTGAATGATTAAACACAAAGTAATATATCCATGAAATAGAAAACTTTTCAGCAATAGAAAGGAAAAAAATCCACTGATACATGCCACAACATAGGTTAACCTCAAAAAAATATGCTAAGCAAAAGACAGACAAAAACACCACTTACTGTATTATTCTATTTATGTAAATACCTAGTAAAGGCAATTCTGTAGAAACAAAAATTAGATTAATAGTCATCAGGGGCTTGAAATGGGAAAGGAGATTAATATAAATGGGCATAAGGATTATTTTTGAGGTGAATGAGGTGCTCTGAAATAGAGTTTTGGTAATGGTTGTGCAATGTAAAAATTAGTGATGCATATATTGAAAAAGGTGAATTTTATTATATGTAAATTATACTCCAATAAATGTGTTAAAACATGGAGATAGATGGATATAGACATAGATATATAGATACATTTAAAGAGAAAAATATAAAGCAATTTATGTTTTACTAAGAAATGATTGGATCATTTAACTTATAGATAGTAATGAATATATCTTAAATTTGTTTTAAAAAACTTTATGCCAGTTAGTAGTAACTGTTGCTTCATTTTCACAGATTATTTACTGGAAAATTTATTTTTGAGAAATTAGAGTCAGGTGGAAAATAGCTATGGCTTCCAATTACGAGTTTTCCATCAGTTAGCTGTAGAAACAAAATTTTTATAGATGCTAATAGAGGTGAAGGAAACAGTGAAAAATTTGAGCTATTAATTTATGAACCCTTCTGATATTAATTTTGTTTTTTACAGAAGAGGTACCTGTTCAAATTCCAATGATGAAGTCACCCTTGGACAAGATCCAACTGACTCCTGGGCAGGCATTGCCTCCTGGATTCCCTGGACCATTCATTTTTGCTGATAGTCTGTCCTCTGTGGAGACTCTGTTGACCAACATTCAGGTCAACAATATTTCTATAAACAAAATAAATGTAATACAAGACATTAGCACTTACATCAATTATTTCACATTTGGGAAATTAAAACAGATAAGATGAACTGTATGTCATTTGCTGTACTTTGACAGGGTTTACTGAAAGTGGCTTTGGATAATGCTCGCATTCAAGAGAAGCAGATTCAACAAGAAAAAAAGGAACTGCGAATGGAGCTCTATAGAGAGAGAGAAATTAGAGAAAACCTTGAAAGACAACTGGCAGTTGAGCTTCAAAGCAGAAGTAAGTTTAACAAGTTCAGTATAACTGAGAAAGTTAACATTGTGTTGGAAATATTTTCAGTAGTAATCGAAATATTCTCAGATATAGCCTGGGACTGCGAAAAGGGTGCAATCATAGTAAAATCAAATCCCATACCCATAATACCAAAGAAGTTCTCTCAATGTTGTGAAGATTCTGAACCCCATGTCAGGATTACCAGCCTGGGGATCTATAAAGGGACTGAGAATACACAGGGAATCCAGCCTTGCAGGCCAGAGGGATTTTATTATAGGACTTCCACAGGACTGGCAGAAAAAGAGACTTAGTCTTGGAGGGCACAAACAAAATCTTACACACACCAAGACCCAGAGGAAAGGAGCAGTGAGCCCCCAGGTTTTTGTTCAGTCACTGTCATGTCCAACTCTGGCTTCCCTGTCCGTCACCATCTCCTGGAGTTTGCCCAAGTTCATGTCCATTGAATCAGTGATGCCATCCAACCATCTCATCCTTTGCTGCCCTCTTCTCCTCCTGCCTTCAAGCTTTCCCAGTATCAGGTTTTTTCCAATGAGCTGGCTCTTTCCCTTAGGTGGCCAAATTATTGAAGATTCAGCATTAGTCCTTCCAAAGAGTATTCAGGGTTGATTTCCTTTAAAATCGACTGGCTTGATCTCCTTGCTTTACAATGGACTCTTAAAAGTCTTCTCCAGCACCACAGTTTGAAAAAATCAATTCTTCGGCATTCTGCCTTCTTTATTGTCCAGTTCTCACATCCATACATGACTACTGGAAAGACCATAGACATGACTATATGGATCTTTGTTGGCAAAGTGACACACTGTCTAGGTTTTTCATAGCTTTCCTGCCAAGAAGCAATCGTCTTCTAATTCCATGTCTGCAGTGAGGATCCCCAGTGATTTTAGAGCCCAAGAATAGGAAATTGTCACTGCTTTCACCTTTTCACCTTCTATTTGCCATGAAGTGATGGGACCGGATGCCATGATCTTAAATTTTTTAATATTGAGTTTTAAGCCAGATTTTTTCACTCTTCTCCTTCACCCTCATCACTAAGCTCTTTAGTTCCTCTTCACTTTCTGCCATTAGAGTGGTATCTTCAGCATATTTGAGGTTGTTAATATTTCTCCCAGCAATCTTGATTCCAATTTGTAGCTCATCCAGCCTGGCATTTTGGATGATGTGCTCTGCACATAAGTTAAGCAAACAGGGTGACAATAAACAGCCTTGTCATACTCCTTTCTCAATTCTGAACCAGTCATTTGTTCCATGCAGTGTTCTAACTGTTGCTTCTTGGCCTGCATACAGGTTTCTCAGGAGACAGGTAAGATGGTCTGGTGTTCCCATCTCTTTAAGAGTTTTCCAGTTTGTTATGATCCACATAGTCAGAACCCACAGGAGATTGAACCAAATCTACCTGCTAGTGTTGAAGGGCTCCTGTGGAGGTGTGGGTTTGCAGGGGCTCACCACAGGGGTGGGAACACTGGCAGCATCAGGCCAGGAGAGTCCCCCTTGTCGTAAAATCCTTATGGAGTTCACAATTAACTCTAGATATAGAATTCATAGACCCCAAGGCTGGCTCGTCTCAGGCCAAACAATTAACAGTGAGGGAATGCAACTCCACCCAACAGCAAATAATTGGTTTAAAGCTTTACTGAGCAAGGCCGTGCCCACCAGAGCAAGACTTAGTTTTTCCCATCATCAATCACTCCCAGCAGGAAGCTTACACAAGCCTCTTAGCCTCATCCATCAGGGGGCAGACGGAAGAAGAAAAAAGAAGTACAGTTTCACAGTGGCTAAAACAAAAACCATATTATAGAAAGTAATCATGATGAAAAAGCAGAAAGTTATGTCTCAGATGTAGCGACAAGAAAAAAACTCCAGAAAAACAACTAAATGAAGTGAGCATAGACAACATTTCAGAAAAAGAATTTAGAGTAATGATAGTGAAGATGAGCCAGGATCTCAGGCAAACAATGCAGGAGACACAAGAAATGTTCACTAAAAACCTAGAAGAACTAAAAAGAAACAGAAATTAATAATACACCAGGTGGAATTAATAGAATAACTGAAGCAGAAGAACGGATAAATAGCCTGGAAGACAGAATGGTGGAAATCATTGCTGCAGAACAGAATACAGGGCAAAGAATGGAAAATGAAGATAGGCTAAGAGACCTCTGGGACAATATTAAATGCACCAACACTCACGTTATAGGGGTCCCAAAGGGAGAAGAGAGAGAGAAAGGACCTGAGAAAATATTTAAAGATATAATAGCTGAAAAATTATCTCACTTGGGAAAGAAAATAATCAACCAAAAAATCCAAGGAGGAACACAACAAGACACATAGTAATCAACCAGAAATAAATTAAAGGCAAGGTTAAAATATTAAAAGCAACAAGTGAAAAATGACAAATAACATACAAGGGAACTCCCTTCAGTCTCTCAACTGATTTATCAACATAAATTCTACAAGCCAGAAGAGAATGGCAGAATATACTTAAAATGATGAAAGGGAAGAAACTGCAACCAAGAATACTCTACCCAGCAAAACTCTCATTCAGATTTGAGGAAGAAATAAAAAACTTCCCAGATAAGCAAAAGTTATGAGAATTTAGCACCAGCAAACCAGCTTTACAACAAATGTTAAGGGAATTTCTCTAGGCAGAAAACACCAGAGGAGGAAAAGACCTACAGTAAAGTAAATCCAAAACAATTAAGAAAATGGTAATAGGTTCATATAATTACCTAAGATAATTACCCTAAATGTAACTGGATTAAATGCACCAACCAAAATACATAGACTGGTTGGGCAGATGAAAACATGTACATGTATGCACTTCCATTTGTTGACCCCCAAGATTGTATGTAATTATTTATATTGTTGTTAATCATGTTCCCATTATGGCTTGCAATTTTAATTATATTTTATTTTTGTCTTGCTATTGATTGTGAAAACCGATAAACATCTTTCACTATTGCAAAAAAAAAAAAAATCCTAATGTATGAAATGCTTACTCTTTGCCAAGAACAGCACTAGATTCTGAAGGTAGAAGATAAATAACACTCAGTTCCTGTCCTTGAAAGATTTACATTTTAAAGGGCTAGCACAACCAATCAGTTAGTTTTAAGACAAAGTGGCAAGAGCAATGATGTATTTATATAAGTTTATATATAGAGAGGATAGTTAATTCAACTTAGTGCTCTGGGGATTTGATGGTTGAGGAAGGCTTTCTGATGCTGCCACTTGAATCTGAGTCTTGAAGAATCAGTAAGCCAAGAAAGAAAGGGCATGAGAGTACCTGAGTGATTTGTTAGTTCTGCAACAATGAGCATGACTATACAGTCCATGGACTTCTCCAGGCCAGAATACTGGACTGGGTAGCTGTTCCCTTCTCCAGAAGGTCTTCTCAGCCCAGGGATCGAATCCAAGTCTCCCACATTGCAGATGGATTCTTTACCATCTGAGCCACCAGGGAAGCCCAAGCATGGAGGCAAGAAGCCTCAAACATGGGGAAGTGTATGCAGTTTTTTATTACTGTGGCTTTGACTTTTTTTTTTTTTGACTTTGACTTTTATAAAGTAAATGTTGAGAGATGATGCAGAAAATAGAGGCTAAATTATAAAGGAGACTTTTAATCATGGAAAAGATTACCTTGGATTTTGACCTGTAGATTATGAGAAGTATTAAAAGATAAACATGGGAATGATCTGGTCTGATTTTAATTAGATAGAACACTCCAGTGTTGGGAATAGATTAGAAGGGGACTTACAGTGAGGTTAGAAACAAGGAAGCTATATAAAAGGAGATTGCCCTCATCTAGACAGTGGTGAAGAGGACTGAAATAGGGTAGCATATGGACACAAAAGGGAGAAAATGAAGAAATACTCTTCAGAAATAGAAATAACTTTCCAACAGTGGGTAGACATTTGATAATCTGCAGACATGGATAATGAGACTAGCTTGTATCAAAATTGAAGAAAATTCAAAATTTTACTTTAACCAATAATTTCCACCTCTTCCTTATATTTTCCATAAAATACTATACAGCAGCGAGTGGTTGTTGTGTTTTTAGCTTTTTCCTTTCTTTGCTTAATCTTCTATAGAATGATCACAAAGCAAACGTTAAGTAACAGTTAAAGAGTATGAAGAAGAGGCATAAAAGGGAGAGAAAATTTACAATCCACATAATACTTCCCTAAACAATGAAGGGTTACACCATTTGAGTAAAATCCACTAAATTTATATTATTCCAAAATAACATTATATTCAGAAATTTGTATCAATAAGTTTAAATTTTACTAGATATTTTCCTTAGGGCCTAGAAATTATAAGCCTAGTTCAAAATGGAAATTCAACCATTGCATTTCAGAAGAATTAAACATTACCTTATCTTGCTGAAGTCATTCAGTTCTAGAAAACAAAGGCTAAATTGTCTTTCTAAGGTTTGGAGAAATTAATACATTTTTTATATTTGGTATGCAATATGTATTATTATGATTGCTCTTCAGACAATAAGTCGTGTCTGACTCTTTGTGACTCCATGGAAACATACCTGGCTTCCTTGTCCTCCACTATCTTCCAGAGTTTGCTCAAAAACATGTACATTGAGTTGGTGATGCTATGTAATCATTTCATCCTGTGCCTTACTCTTCTCCTTGTGCCTTCAGTCTTTCCCACCATCAGGGTCATTTCCAATGTGTTGGCTCTTCACATCAGATGGCCAAATTATGGGAGCTTCATCTTCAGCATCAGTCCTTCCAATGAATATACAGGGTTGTTTTCCTTTAGGATTGACTGGTTTGCTCTCCTTTTAGTCCAAGAGACTCTCAAGAGTCTTCTCCAGCAGAACAATTTGAAAGCATGAATTCATCTATGCTTAGCCTTTTTTATGGTCCAACACACACATCCATATATGACTACTGGAAAAACCATAGCTTTGACTATATGGAACCTTGTTGGCAAATATACCGTCTAGGTTTGTCACAACTTCCATCCAAGGAGAAAGT